TGCTGCGTGTCTGTTCTCTTCCTCGCGCAGACGGGCTGCGCAGGGCTGTGGTACTTGTATGTTACTTACTACCACAAGTATAATGTTGAGGTATGCCCAGAAAAAACGTTTATAGCCCCGGCCTGTATTAGAGACCGGCCATTATTTACCTCCTCTGACAGCGAGACCGGCCATTATTAGAGACCCGGCCGCTATTGGAATACAGGCCAATATTAGAGAATTTACGGTATTTTCATAGATCATGTGAATTTGTATGTTAAAAAAATTGCATAGTAATATGGTGAAAACTGGTATATAATAAATATGTTTTTTAGCTTGAGTGTATTTTTCATAAATGTAATTTGCTCTGCTGATTTGTCACATAGTTATTAGTTGCAAAGTTAGAAATGGCAGCAGCAATATTATCTGTCATGGAATGGGTTAGGTGGTGGAAACAAATATTTTGGTCTTCATCCAACTTCTTTCCAAGTTATTATTTATCCATCTTTCTCTGTTGTTTTTGAAGTACATAACCTTCGCCTAACAGTACACTGCATTTTCTTCTAACTGGCTCTGAAAACCAATAAATTAAACTAAACTGTTTATTTGCAGCAGCAGGATTTAAATCCTGCACTCTTTCTGCGAATTCTCTCCTTGTGCTCCAGATTTATCCTACAGTTCAAATACTTGATTTACAGGTTAACTGATCTCTCTTAATTGCCCTCAGGTGTCAGTGTGTTTATGGTTGTTAGTTGGGTTCTGACTGTCTCTGGCTGTTGGCAGCTGATATCCCTAACTGGGGAATCTTCACTGGGTGGTGAAGAAAGATGATAAAAACTTATCAAGGCAGAACTTCTTCCAAGTCAGATGCAGACATGCCTTAACATGCTGCAGAGACCTGCACTGGTATAAATACTTCCAATAGTTCATTCATGCAGCCTAACAGAGGGGTAAACTTAGAAAAGGGACTTTACAGTAACATCAAATTTTCCAAATCAGGATGTTCTAATAACGATTAAACTTGAAATCCTAGGTACCTCAGTGATTGTTTTCTATAAAGGTATTGTTTTCTGAGTTTTAGGTAAATGATTTGCAACTCACTGTTTCACTCAGCTCCACATATAATCTAAAACAGAGTGAAGATAAAACTCACCTGTAGATTATCATAATAATCCATTAATCCATATAAACTCAGCAGAAGGATTCCTGGCTGCTCCTCCATGGAACTGCTTGCAGTTTTGTCTCCGTAGCTCAGTGTCTGTTTCATAAAGCCTGCTCTGACCCCACCCACATAGGGAAGGTCATTAAATGTATAACTTATTACTATTTTTCTCTACCTGCTCTGTTTGGGGTGCATGTTTGCTCAGAGAATGTTGAAATAGAAAAATACATTAACACAAGAGACCTGAAAATAACACCAGAACCTTTATCCTAAAATACTGCAGAGATTTTTTAGACTGGACTTTCTAGAAGTATCTCAAAGAACCTCAACATAACAAATATGAAATCCGGGTTATATCCTAAACTACTAGTTAATGAGTGTCAAAGACTGGGGGCTGTGAGTCCTTATGCATCTATGCTGCAGGGTTTGACCTTTGGGCTCAGAACGGCTGGTGTTTGGTCTCTGTTGATGTTTCAGTATAAGGCCAGTTAATGGGAATAATAATAAAGTTAATAAAAGAGTAAAAACAATCACAAATTTGTTTACAAGTTGGTTTATAATCCCCTCAGAACCTGATTTAAAGTAAGGAATCATAAAAAGTCTACTCAGGAAACCTGCTCCTGCCCATCTTTACTGACCCTCCTGTAACTGGGTCAACATTAAAATAGCTGCTTGTCAGGTCATTTATCTGCGTGTAATTTACCTCAAGCCAATAAACACAAAACCAGTTTCTATTCTGCTGTAACCAAACCCTGGATAAAATAAGGATCTCTCTGGAGACTTAGTCACCTAAGAGTCAGCATGCCTTAAGGTGTAACCTGTCGTCTGATGGGCGGTAAAGACTGGTCATTATACCAGTCAGTGTTATTATTTTTGTTGCAATGACAGTGGAGTTAACTGTGGGTATATTTCCCGCTTCTGAAGAAAGAAAAAAAAAAAAATCCCCCCCGCAACATTTCTGCACAGAAATCTGGGGAAAACCCTGGCTGAGACATGCTCTCACAAGCCTCCAGGAACTTGAAAGCCTCCAGGCACCATCAGGAGAGGACTTGAAGCATTTCATTTTGCTGATCCATTTGATGCAGTGCAGAAAGGTCTCCTTTGATCGTTGCGACCCACAGTGTAAGTCGAGGGTCCATAGGGGACTGTAACAAATAGCAACGGTATCTTAAAGGTGTTAAGAATTGTCCACCTCTCTGTGAAATCATTAGATGAGATAGAGAAGCTCCCCACAAGAGGGGGTATAATGGTATTAATATGCGATTGTTTGGAACAGAAGCCAGACTTTCCTTGTCCTCTGTTGTCCCCTTGTGTTTCCTTTTCCCTTGGCTTCCTACTCAGCTCTAATCACACCTGCTCCTTATCACCTCGTTAGTCCTGCCTTTGTTCAGTCAGCCATAAATACACTCCCTCTGCAGTCCCTCAATGCTGTTTCCTCATCTTACTTTGTCTCACCCTGGCTCCTTGTGATGATTTTCCTCTGTCAGGGTTTGTTTGGAGGTTTTAGTGAGGACCCTAATGCAGAGGCTGAGAGGCAGGGGTGAGTTCTTTGATGATTCAATGGGATAACACAGGTAACCAAAACAGGAATCAAAAATCCAACATAAAAATTAATCACTAACCAGAACCATGGAGACATCATTGTTCTGGTTAGAACCATGATTTCTAGGAGTCAGGCTTACCTGCCAGAGAGGAAGTGGGGGCATCAGGCTGACCCACCGGAGAGGGAGTGGAGGCGTCAGGCTGACCCGCCGGAGAGGGAGTAGAGGCGTTAGGCTGACCCACCGGAGAGGGAGCGGAGGCGTCAGGCTGACCCGCCGGAGAGGGAGCGGAGGCATCAGGCTGACCCGCCGGAGAGGGGGCGAAGGCGTTAGGCTGACCCGCCGGAGAGGGAGCGGAGGCGTCAGGCTGACCCGCTGGAGAGGGAGTGGAGGCGTCAGGCTGACCCACCGGAGAGGGAGCGGAGGCGTCAGGCTGACCCGCCGGAGCCCG